CTCCCTCCCTCCCTACCCTCCCCCCCCCTCCTCCCTCCCTCCCTCGCTCCCTCCCTCCCCTCTCCCTCCCTTCCCTCCTCTCCCTCCCTCCCTCCCTCTCCTCCCACTCCCTCTCCTCTCCTCCTCTCTCTCTCTCTCCGCTCTCTCTCTCTCTCTCTCTCTCTCTCTCTCTCCTCTCTCTCTCTCTCCCTCTCCCTCTCCCTCCCTCCCTCCCTCCCTCCCTCCCTCTCTCTCTCTTCTCTCTCTCTCTCTCTCTCTCTCTCTCCTCTCTCTCTCTCTCTCTCTCTCTCTCTCTCTCTCTCTCTCTCTCTCTCTCTCTCTCTCTCTCCCTCCCTCCCTCCCTCCTCCCTCCCTTCCCTCCCTTCCTCCCTCCCTCTCTCTCTCTCTCTCTCTCTCTCTCTCTCTCTCTCTCTCTCTCTCTCTCTCTCTCTCTCTCTCTTCTCTCTCTCTCTCTCTCTCTCTCTCTCTCTCCTCTCTCCAACTCACTCACTTTCCCCCATCTCTTTTTACCCCCCCTCCCTTTCTCTATTTCTCCTTCCTTTTCTCTCACTTTGTTTCCCTAATCGATTCCCTTTTCTTGTATGTCTTTTCACTTTCTACCCACCTCCCTTCTCCCCTCCCTCTCCCTCTCCCTCTCCCTCTCCCTCTCCCTCCCCCCTCCCCCCTCCCCCCTCCCCCTCCCCTCCCTATCCCGCATTCGCGTATGATAAAATCTTCTACAGCGTGTACAATCCTTGCCCTTAGCTCACGTCGGTTACTTTGTTCGTGCGTTATTTATATACTTCACACTAAGGCTTAACATCAACAGCACAAGGTCACGCAGTACTTGTGTGTGTGCGTGTGTGTGTGTGTGTGTGTGTGTGTGTGTGTGTGGTGTTGCGTTGGTGTGCACGTGCTTGCTCACTGGCTTGGATGTGCGTATCTTTTCGTTGCGTCCTGTGTACGTGTTTGTATGTGTGTGTGTGTGTTGTTTTAAATATCGGGACTAACCGGGATTGAGGACATGGGAAAAACAAGGATGGGGAAGTGACGTTAATGATGATAACGATGGAGAGAGAAGAGAAATTAAGAGAGAAGAAGAAAAAAAATAATCTGGCGTAGGTAGAAATTTCTCGAGCGTAAGTTGACAGTAGTTATCTGCAAGACCCACCTGTCGGATATCCTGTAGTCACGCGTCCTAATTATAACGAGCGCTCGGGACCTCGCTCAGTTTCCAAGGGGACGTTAGTGCGTGCGGCGGCGATCTCGTGCGTGAGTTTGTGCGTGTGCGGGTATCCTTCTCGGCTGCGAGGACCGTAGGATTTCGAGAGGGTGGGCTCTTGGCTGGCGCCGGGGACTCGGGTGTTGCTCAAGACCGGTCGGCTTGGATGAGGTTTGTGTTGGTTTGTTATTGTTTTCTTCTTTTTTTTCGATTTTTTTTTCGGTTTGTGTTTATTGTTTTCTTTTTTATTTTTTTTCGATTTTTTTTTTTCTATTCTTTCGATTTTTTGTTTTGTGTGTGTGTTTTTGTGCTGTGAAGGATTTTTTGTTTGGATAGGAGGGGGCGGGGTAGTTAGTTTTATTTTTTATATTATTTCTGTGTGGTTTCTTTTATACAATTTTTTTTTTTTTTTTACCGTAACAAGAACAAGGAAGCTCGCTCGGTTTGTCCTTCCTCTCCTCTTCCTTCTATTTGATGTATGTCTTACTCTTTTTTTTCGTGTTTCTCTTCTCCCTTCCTCTTCCTTTTATGTTCCCTTCCCCTCCTTTCTCTTCCCCCCTATTATTCTTTTTTCTGTTCTCGTCCCCTCCTCTGTCTCTCCCCTCTTTTCCTTTTTTTTCGTTCTCCCCATCCTCCTACTCCTCCTCCTCTCTCCTCCTTCGCACCGCCATCTCCCCCCTCCCCCCCCTCCAGTTTCTCAGCCCCATTCATCCCATTTCTCTATCATGTTCTATCTCCCTTTATCTCGCATCTCCATGTGCCTCCCCTTCTCTTCCTTCACTCTTTTTCTTGCCGTTTCCCCCATTCCTTCCGCCGACTTCCTTTCCGTGTCCTGGTCTTTCATGCTGAGCCAGTCTGTCTTCCTCTTCCTTACTTCCGCTCTTTATCTCTTCCTATCGAGTAATTTTTTTTCTCCCGCTTTCTCGTCTCGATTCTCTTTCTCCCCTTTCTCTCGCGTCTCTTTCTCTTCTTTCTCTCCCCAGATCTTTTATCTCTTGCTACTCCTCCGCTTTCTCTTCCAACTCTCTC